ATGAACAGGGCAGCTTTGCTGGATTGCATTGTCTCTGGGTTTGCTTCCAAACTGGCTTCAACTTCTTCTATCTACGCTCGGAGTCTTTTTTCTCTCGTCTTCGCATTCTTGATTTCCATGGCTTAGCTAATGTTTTCTTCGTCTTTAGATTTATGACCATTTCACTTGTTTTACGGCATGATTGAGCGATGGCGCACAACCACCACTTTACTGTATATGTTAGTCATTTGATTTGTTTTTCGTCTTCTTGGTCTATCAAGGTTTATAATTTTCAGGGCCGTGCTATGGTCATGTATATGCTGTGAAAACGTTTGTTTAGCTGTAGATTTCAAAGAGTTGGTCCAGGCATTCCTTGATGCTAATCGGTGAGTTTTGGTATTTTGAAATCTTAATCATCAATCTCTATAGTTTTTCACTACTTTTTGATACTTTCCACTGCTATATAATGACGTTTTTATACAACAAAAGTTAGCCAGTATTACAATGAAGTTTGTCTGTGAGAATCTAAAAACAGCCCCAAACTGGTTCCACTAATGTAGCGGCTTTCGCTCTTACACCTTTTCGCCACATTGAATATTAATGAATGGACGCATACTGCAACACAATGGCATATGAATGGTATAGCAGAAAAAAATAAACTAGCATACTTTGTTAAGATCCTGCTGAATAAATTAGCATAAAATGATAACTTCGTTTTGCAGATTAACACGACACTTGTTGAGAGCAGTTTGACAATTTTTTCAGAATAGTGGAATGATTTACTCTCACTTATTCTGAGTTAAGACAAGGACCTTCATGTCAATAGTTCTATCAAGATGTCGCCCATTTTTTGAATTTTGTTTAAGTGAATTTTGACGCATTAGGGTTAGGCTTCTTACTTCATCGTTTTATCTGCAGTGTAGTTGCAGATCAGTTTTTGTCTAGAAGGGAGTTGGTCAGACTCTTTCTTGAGCAGTAAAACTGATCTGAAATTGCTATAATTTGCGAGGTTGATTATAATCTGAAGGCGCTTATAACTGGGCTTTACATCGCATTCTCGCAACCTCTTACATTTTTTTCCCTCGTTGTAAGCAGTGTTTGGAAGCTCTTGAACACCTCTGACAACGGAAAAGTTGGCGTACGAAAATCTAGAATCTGCTCATCCACTGGTAGTTTTCAGTTTGTCAAACTCGTCATGCCCTATCGAAATGCCTAGGAGGCTTTCTCATGATATAACTCCTAACTTGTTGTTGACTGGAAATAAATCGCAATCCAACTCAACACATCACCGTGCTAGTTCTGGAAATTGCACCAATAATTTGACTGCGCCGGACTCCTTGAGGTACAATCTTCCATATTTATCCTGCTATTATCGAAGCTGATTATCTTATTCCAGGAACCCCACATCTGTACTCAAAGCAGAACCCGTGGATGCAAAATTATCAATTAAACCAAAAGAAGGGGGAGAGTTGCACCAACCTATAGCGACCTTTGACGAATGGACAAAGGAGAAATTGAAACAGGAACATAGGAAAGCTGTTGTCAGTTTATAATTAGCTCGTCCTTGAGACTTAAGATTTGTTTGATTTTGTAGTTTTATTTTTGAAGTTTATCAATTATATTTAGCCTCCGGCTTCTGTAGTGGATACGGGGTTGCCTAGCACTCAAGTTCAACAGATAGCACCTGCTGCTGCTGCGACTCGTAACTACGCCAGCAGGGAGTGCGGTGCAAAAGTGCTATTGAGCAATCCGGAAGCTGAAAATACCAAGGCCATTCTTAATGAGAAGGTAAGCACTGTCAAGTCTTTCATTTCTTTTTGTCGGTGCTCATGGGTTTTCCGCTAAGAGGGTTTCCATGCTAAGAAAGAGATTGTTTATAATCACAAGAAAATTGTCTTGTGAAATTATTTGTTCGATAATGCAGAGTTGGAGTGACTTATATATTACCACAATCACATACTCCGCAAATCTAACCGAGCTCCTTAGTTTTACTGTAGGAGTAGACTTCGCTGCTGAACGAGCCAAGCAACTCAGTTTGCCGGTTTCCGAGTAGTGTCATGCGACTGCTATAGTTCGCTTGCAACTAACCTAAGCCCTTCTTTTATAATTGACATTGGTACCATAAAGTGGGCGCTTTTACCAATTTGAAAACGAACACTTCGAAAGTGCTCAGCAATTAAGATATCATTTATAGAATCTCAACCGTGCATTATTTTATTCTGTTTGTAATTTCATCCATTTGTTTTTTCGTTTCATACTTGCCTGAAATTCGGTTTACGTTATAGGGCTGTTTACCTATGAGGTACTTGATTGTCGAAATTTCAGGAAAAAGACGAGTATATGCGCAATCCATGTGAGAAAGCCGAGAACAAATTTGTCATTTTAGAGCTCTGCGAGACTATCCAGGTTTATCATTGTTCTTTCCTGTTCTTAAATTGTATATATTGTTTCTTTCAAGGCTCTATTCTTCTTTCCTTTAAGCCTCGCAGCGTTGAAATCGCCAATTACGAGTTGTTCTCTTCTGGACCGAGAAACATCAGATTGTGGTCAGCAGAAAGATTTCCCAATGGTGAATGGCGTCTGCTCAGCGAACTAACTGCATTGGACTCTCGCCAAATTCAGCAATTTCCTATACCTTTCACTGGTGCATACGCAAAATTCATCAAGGTAAATATTTTGATTCAATAGTTTTTCTCCCGTTATCTTCATACATATGATGTTTAAGCTCATTTTCTCATGGCTCCTTAGGTTCTCACTACAGATAGGTTTCTTGTTTAAGGTTGAATTGCTATCTCACTACGGTAATGAGCACTATTGCACTTTGTCAGTTTTGAAGGTTCTCGGGATATCTATGGTGGATGAGTACGAAGCAGAAGTGAAGTTTTCAGTTTTCTTTCTTTTTTCGACCTTATCGATCAATCGTAATCTAGGCC